GGGAATTGATTGAAGTGACATGGGAAACTGTTGCGTAGAAAGTAGTCATGATCATGCATGATGTCATCCCTACATAGAGACGTACAGTTGAAAATATGAAAGGGAAAAACGCTAAAATTCTCCCATCGACAAGACTCCGTCGAACATGGCATTTTTAGGGGCAATTTGTTAACAAGTATTTTTTGACTAAGGTAATAAACCTAAAGCTATGGGGATATATTTGGATAAAGAAGTATAGAGTAGTGGAAAATAACATAATGCGTTGAGCAGGTAGAGGACGTCGACCAAATGAGCTAGTCGGCGAAGGCAGGTAGATCATGGGTAGCTGTCGACAGAAACAAAGGTCGAAGAGGCTAAAGAAAGAATTCATACGGGCAAGAACAATTATCAACATGCAGAGCCAGCAAGAACGTGGGCTAGTAAATGTCGACAGTTACTTGTTTAGGATGTTTATGTAAGAAAAAATTTGTATTTGTGTTAGATGTGACATTTCTTCACATTTAATAGAAATACATTCAAAGTACTCGCATCTAAGAGAGAAACAAGTTCAAGTTTAACAATGTATGAATTCTTCCACATTTAAATTCTTAGTAATTTACAGTCTTTAATTTATTTTCATTGCAATTTCCTTTATCTCTTACCCTTTTATCCCTTTTTCAACCCAAAAAACACTTTAAACACTAAGTATGGGATTATTGTAGCCGATCTCGCAAGTAACCTTTAATAAGAGGCTAGCGATTGTTTCACAGAGAAACAGATGTCAGGAAACATGTTGTGACATTTTGCTACTATAAGTAGTTATTTGGTGCTCTTGACAAGGCATGATTGGTTATAGCCATATGAAGCTTGGTGACTGGATCAAGAGTAAACTTGTCTATCTGGAAGACAATGTTTGTATATGGGGGAATTTATTTTTCTCTACATATTTTGGAAGAACTCTCTAAAGGCTTCTTCTGATGTAAGATGTCACACTTATGAAACTATGATGTCTTAGTGTGTTTTACTTATTCTAAGTGAAGGGAGTGTACATAGAATCTAGTGGAAGGTTTTCTGTTTGTGCCTTAGAACACGTGAAAATTTATGTGAAATATCACGTCTGAAGATGTGTTCTTAGTTTGAGGGGGAGTGTACACCAAATTACTTCATGAATTTTTTCCCAAATTATCCTGAGGGGGCTGTAATGGATTGGTTCGGGCTGCTGTGAAGAGATGTTGAACTGTCATGAAGAAGTCCTAACAAGATGTTGTGACATCATGAGTGAAGAAAGTAAAGACTGAAGATTGTCAAAGATATGAAGACCGATTGCTCTCATGTTTCCATTTTATGGTTGTTGTTGTTTTGTATTGCTTTGCCTTTGATGTATGTTCTGAATTGTGTGTGCAAAGGTTATGTAAATTAGTTTTAGCCAAAACAAGCCAAAGGGGAGATTGTTAATTCTCTATTTTTATGGTTGACATTATGTTTAGTAAAACTAATGTAGCAGCAATATGTTAAATAGGAGGTGTTAACTTGCTAAGAAGAACAAATTGAGCATTAAGTCCTATTTTATGTTGAGACATGTTGAGATGAGAAGTTCTCATCAACTGGAGCAACATGTCGGACAAGATGCCCTATGCAGAGTCACTCGACATTATGACTGTTATCAGCTATACAGTTGGATTAGTTTAAGATTTAACAGATGCAAAATATTCTGAGAATATTTTACAGTCCTATGTGGTGCTGATTTCTAGGTCTAGAAGATTCAAGTCAGAATCAAGAAGAATGTGAACTTTCTAATTATGGAGATAAATTAAGAAGGATTTGATTGAAGACCTATTTTATTGCAGAATATTCTACAGATTTGTAATAGCCAATGTGCTATGATTTAAAGCCCAAATCCAGTTGGGAAAAGGGTTATAAATAGAAGCATTTGTAACCTAAAGAAGTATCAGCCGTGAATGTAATTATGTAGTCATCAGGGCTGAGTATGTACCACTCTCTAGGAGAGTTGGTTATGTGTTCCACCCGGTTGTGAGTTAAACTGATGTTATAGAGTTGTAGTCTCTATTATTGTTCTCACTCAGAAGCTTGTAGGTAATGAGTTGAGTATTGTGCTTGGAGGAATCTTGTAAGAAACTCCAAGTTGTATTCTTATTCAAGAGTTTTTGCTAGGTATTATCATGGAAGTATGTCTTCTAGTTTTTCGTCATGGAAGTGTGTCTTCTTGTTTTATCCAATCATTGTCTGTAATTGATGAGGGGTTGAGGAGGGCCTCATATCTAGGCGAGTCTTAGATAGAAAGTTAGCACGGGTAGTGATTAAGTGAGAAGTTGTAAACGAGGGAGTTTAGCTTCGAGTTGATACTATTATAGTAGACTTTATCTCTGGCTTGGTATGCCCCCAGAGTAGGAGAGTTTTTCCGAACTAGGTTAACAATTCTTGTGTATTGTTTATGCTTTTTAGTACTGTTTTTGTATGTTTTTACCTTGTTATATTGTTTGTTCAGATTCGGATGTCTCGATATGTCATATGACATATGAAGTCTGTTATACCAGAATTTCAGAAGGAAAAGAACCATTACCCAATGTTCCGGAGCCTATGATCTTCCCTTTCTGATCACCTCTGAAACCTACGATTCCTCCAGGCTTAAGTTCAAGGCTTTGAAACATATATCTTCTTCCCGTCATGTGTCGCGGGCATCCAGAATCCAGGTACCATGACTGGTGTCCTAACTTCGCTTCTAAGAATATATGCAACATATATTAACTACTTCTTAGGTACTCATAGCTTCTTGGGTCCTTTTTTGTTAGTCTTCCCGGAGTTGTTCACAACCTTGGTCTTAGGAGAAAGATAAACATATTTAGTTGCATTCTTGAAATGGGACTTTTCTTTAGGTTTAGCCTTAGGAAAAAAAAGATATTTTACCTTTTTCTTTTACTTTAGACTCAGAACCAGCAGAGACAAAGTAAGAATGAAGAGTATTTGATTTATCTTCTTTTTCATAATCAAATTTTTCATAAGAATCATAATCAATACATTTTATACCGTTTCTGCTTACACCATAGGTTACTGAAGCCATGACGCTTCTACCTAGGCTTCTAGCAAGAAATTTCTAGAATGATTTGTCATATTTCTTTATTACATCATCAGTACTCATAGAAGCTTCTGAAAGAAATTCCTTCTCAAGAATGGAACTCTTTCTTTTGAGAACAGAGTAATCAATCTTAAAAATATAATTTTCTTCTCTTAAAGATGAAAATTCTTCCTTGAGTTTGTTGTGTTCTTTAGAAACAGATCCATGGACCTTTTTAAGTTCCTTGAATTCGTTCTTAAGCAACTCATGTTTTCTAGAATTTCAAGTAAAGAACATGATAATTCAAAGTGAGAAAGGTCAGAAAATACCTTTTGTGTCTGAATCAGAGTCTGCAACAGCTTCTGGATAGACCATCTCATCAAAAGCTTTGGCACTAGCCATCAATGTCACCTTAGCTTATTCTTCTTTGGTATCATCTTCTAATGAAATAGAATCATCCCATGTTGACATCAGCCCTTTCTTCTTTCCTCCAGAAGCTTTTTTTTGGGGCTTGTCTTATCCGAGCTTAGGACAATCATTCTTGTAGTGGCTTGGTTCTTTATATTCATAGCAAGTAACCTTTTTGCTGCCACCAGACTTTTTTTGTGCAGAAATAGACTCAAAGCGACCACCAGTCCTTCTGACTCCTTTGAACTTGTTACCTTGCCTCTTCTTCCAGAGTTGGTTAACCCTTTTGGATAACAGTAACAACTCATTTTCATCTTCATCATAATCTTCTTCGAAATCCTCGATCTCTTCTGCTTGAAGAGCTCTCGTCCTCTCAGATTTTCTGATGGATTTAAGAGCAACAAATTTATCTCTCTTCTGAGGTTCATCTTGTTCCAACTCTATCTCATGGCTTCTCAAAGAACACATCAATTCTTTTAGAGAAAACTATATCTGAATTAAGGAAGTATAGAAATGAGACCATATATGAATTAAGTTAAGTTAATCAATAGCTTAATCTCAATTTTTCACCGTTACACTTACTGAGACCATATATAAATTATGGAAGTATAAAAATGAGAAAAGCTATAATAATAGTCTAAATAATAATCACATAAAAGATTGAATTATAGATATGATTGTGTATAAGGGTTGAACCAATATCAAACTTAGAAAACACATAACTACTCTTATGATGAATTAACTTTCTATAAGTTATCATGTGGTTGTTTGAGCTAGATCCAAGAGATCGCTTTGTATATTTTTTTTTTTTGTGAATTAACCAAAGTTCATTGATTAAAAAAATTTTCAATTTAATATTGTTTAAAAGGTAATGTAAATATTATCTTTTTGAAACCATAGATATGTTTCTTAAAACATATCAAAATAATAATAAAAGATGTTATTTAAAACATTTATTAATAAATAATTATTAAAAACACATTAAAAAATAAAACAATTAATAAAATTTTGGATTAAAAGAAGAAGTTGACAATTTCATCAGTAATTTGGGATTTTTAAATATTTATTATATAAGTATAGATCGAATGATTTCTTCAATTAATTTAATCTTGTTTTGAGAAATACCTTTGTTTGACTCATTAAAAAAAGGCAATGTGTATTCCGAATTTATTTTTGAGATTTCTAAGATTTGAATAATTTAATTGGAGATATCCACTGATTCAGTTTTGGTGAACCGATTTTTCCTCAACTTAATTTACTAAAAAATCTCCTAAATTTACTAAAAAATCTCCTAAATTGAATATGATTATTACTAATTGATTGTATATATATACACGATGAGCAATGCTTGGTAAAGCGTATCCACAGATTATGTTCTCCGTTCACCAGTAACAAGTCTCATCCCAATCCAAGTATTTTTTTCTTATACTTCAATTTGTTAATATTAGGTTTCTTTTACACTTTGGTACTCGGTTTTCTATATTATTATAAATAACATTATATTCTCATTTCAGGCTAATTGTGCCCTAATAAGGATAATATGAGTGATTGCATTAGTGAATTGCCCGATGGCGTCTTATCTTATCTTCTAACAATGATAACCATGAAAGATTTGTTGAAAACTAGTATACTATCTAAAAGGTGGTGCGATCTTTGGGGTCTGAGAACAAATCTTCAGTTTGATACTATCAATGTTCTTGGAGACATTGAGGAAGAACTAGTGCAAACCGGTAATCTCATTAATTTGGATAATTATAGAGATGAATTTGCAAAACGTGTGGATCAATTTGTTAACAAGTTTCCAGGTAGAATGATAGATTCTTTGTTGGTAAATTTTTGTTTGAATGGTGAGCAAAGCAGCATTATTGATGGATGGATACGTTTTGCTATTGAAAGAGGAGCAGGAAGAATCGATCTACTCTTTGAAGGAGTGCTATATGGATATAGTCATTTACATAACTGTTATAAATTTCCCTTAGACTTACTTTTGGAGATCAATACTTCAACTCTAAAGCATTTGCGTCTTGAACGCTGTCTTATTATCCATCCCAGTTACTATGACTTTACTCCATTAAAAAACTTGAGGTTTCTTTCACTAAGTGATGTAAAAGTCGATGAAATCCTCCTGGAAAGTTTGTTATCCAATTGTCGCCTTCTTGAAGAGCTTCAGTTATATTCATGTCAGTTTGAAGCATCAATGCCGAAGATAGCAAGTTCATCGTTATTAAATCTCAAGATTATAGGAGGTTATATCTTGTCCAAGAACAAAACAAGGGTGCAAGTAGAATTCACTCTACTGGATTGCCTTAAACTAACTTCGTTGGAGTACCATGCATATGGTTTGGATACCATGACCATTAATACTCCTATGATGAAATGCATTGACTTCTTAGTTTCATATGAACAAGATCTTGACATTTTTTCTCTCTCAAACTTTCCTCAACTTGATAGTATCAGTATAGATATGTCATCCACGGTTAGTTTTATAGTATTCTAACAATGTTTTTTCTTCTTCTTTAATCTTACATGTTTTTGTTCAGGTTATAACTTCTCTTAAAATAACCCAACCACTCAAACATCTTCACGGTTAGTTTTATAGTATTCTAACAATGTTTTTTCTTCTTCTTTAATCTTACATGTTTTTGTTCAGGTTATAACTTCTCTTAAAATAACCCAACCACTCAAACATCTTAAACAATTGAACTTGAGCCTTTTATGGGATGGGAGCATCTCAAAGGAAGCTGATTATAGTCTTTTGTGGATTTTAAACATCCTTCAAGCTTCTCCACTTTTACAAAAACTTTCAATCATGGTGAGTCAACATAACTAATACACATTGTTTGCTTATTTTTAATATCATTCATGTTTTGTTTATAATTTTGTCAGCTTACAAATCCAAAGTTCCTTAGAAAACAAAAAGATATTGGAGATATTGAAAGATTTTCTCACCAAGAGGTCAAAGTTATTGAATTAGGAGGCTGTGTTGGCAATTGGTTTGAAATTGAGTTTGTTATAAATATTCTAAAATATGTTCCAAAGCTTGAGCAAATGGTTTTGAGTCCCTGTTGGAAAGAACATGGCACGTTGGATTGGATTTCAGACCCTGTGTGCTTTCAAAGTGCACGTCAAAGGATTAGTGAAAAGCTTCAACGTGAACAAGTTGTGGCAAGAGAAAAAATTGTACTAGTATAACCTTGCATGATTTCTTGTGTTTTCTAACCTTGCAAGTGAAAGGATTAGTTTTTTAACATTACACTCCTTAGATTTCCTTTATCTTTTATACAAACTAATCATTTTATTTAAGTTAATTATTTAGCCTATTTTAATTTCAATTCAGTTAGTTATTTCATTAATTGTTAGTAAAATATCAGTTATTATATCAAAAATAACAAAACAAATCTTGCATATTCACCAAATACATTTTTAATCAAATTAATTCTAACACCTCGCAAATAATAGGATATACATCATCAAATAATCAATAAGTCGATTTGATGTCGCACTAATTGATTATTCAAATTAAAACAATTAAAATTCATGCGAAATTTAGTTTATGTCTAGAGTAATAATCAAACGCAATCGCTCAAAGCGGTAAATGAACAAAGTCAAATTTATTAGTAAATTAAATCTAAACTAAATAAAAATTCCAAGGTTGCTAACCTAAAACAAAAAAAAGTTCCAAAGTTACTAAACTAAATCTAAATCAAATAAAATTCTAAAAGTTTACTAAGTCAAATCTAAATGAAATAAAATCTAATTCTAAAGTTTACTAAGTCAAATCTAAATGAAATAAAATCCTAAAGTTACTAAAATAAAACTAAAAATAAAATTCCAAAGTTTACTAAGTCAAATCTAAATCAAATAAAATTCTAAAAGTTTACAAAGTCAAATCTAAATGAAATAAAATCCTAATTCTAAAGTTTACTAAGTCAAATCTAAATGAAATAAAATCCTAAAGTTACTAAAATAAAACTAAAAATAAAATTCCAAAGTTTACTAAGTCAAATCTAAATAAAATAAAATCCTAAAGTTACTAAAATAAAACTAAAACAAAATAAAATTCTAAAGTTACTAAATAAAATCAAATAAGATTCTAAACATTTTAAAGTTATAAAATAAATCTAAATTAATACTAAACTAAATTAGTTATAAGATTTACAAAATAAAAATTTCTTGACAAGGTGTTGAACTCAGGTCTCTATGATTTAGAGCTAGATGCATCACCAGTTGAGCTACATTGTTATTTGTTTATTAATAAAGGTTTAATTAAAATATAAAGGGGAAGTGGTAATTGGATTGGGCCAAAAAAAAAACCAGTGGACCGACCCGCTTGGACAAGGGAAAGGAAGAGTCTTGGAAACCCTAGGGAGGCGAAGGGGGGCGGCGGCTGCATGCAGGCTTTATTAGAAAGGGAAAAAGTCAGACTTAAATATTATTATTATTATATCCTTTCCAAATAAAATAGATTAAATAAAAAAAATGGAACAAAAACTAAGCAATTGTATCGATCCTTTCTCCCCCCACATTATTCAACCACATCACCTTCCTCTTTTCTCTCAACCGTAACTCATCTATTCCTTCCTCAAAATTCATTTTTTCCTTTCAAAAAAATTCATCATTTCTCCTTTCTATTTCTCAAACACACCAACAAGAACAGATTTACAATCCTTATTTCAAAAATTGAAAATGAAAACAAAGAGATGGACTCGGAACAGTAGAGAGGCGGACAGAGAGATGGTGTTGCGTTGTTACCAAAATTAGTTGTCTTCTTCACGGGTGTGTGCGGTTTGCGAAAACAAGGAATTTGAAGGTAGAATCTCTGCATCTGCGTCCGGATCTTGTTCGGTTCCGATTGGGGATGAAGATTGTGCGAGCGGAAATAAGTATATGTAGAGGTGTGCGGTTGTGATTCTTGCTATCAAATCGCAAGGTTAATTCTTAGTTTGCCAAGATTTTCCTCTTTATGTTTTGTTTATAATTAGTTATGGAGTTTTAAAAAAAATATTTTTTTTTTGTTCGTAGGAATGTTAGCAAGAAGGCATTAAAACAAAGGTTCAATCATACAATCATACAAGGAAGTTAAATGGCAAGAGGGTAAATGGCTTACCTTGTGATAAATATGCAACTGAAAAAAATGGGTTTATAACTGTTCCCGTCACCCAAGGAAGACCAGCAGTTGTGACTATTGTAACATGTCTTTCATTGTTATAGAAATCCTGCTTTGGACGGTATGTCCAGAGTCCACCTTCATAACCGGTGTCCTGTGCTCTGAATGCAGTAGAAGTTGGTTCTTGCATTTTTCGTACAAGCTCTCAACTATCTTGTCGCATATATCTCTGTTGACTCCATGTTGGTCCAAAAAATGGCCCAGAATGTTTAACAAAGTAGGCCAGGAGTTCAAGTACATACAGTGGTGGCACTTCCTCTGATTCCTGTTTTTTTGTAATGAGATTTCTGCCTGTGTTGTTAGTGTTACGTTGCAGGAAGATTGGAGGTGTGGCAGCTGCTAGCTAAACTACCAATTCTATGTGCATACTGTGTGCTGTTTTGATTCTCTAAGGTGGATGATTTTTTTTTTTGAGGTCTCAAAAAACCAACCTTTTTGTTCCCCACTTGTATGTATTTTTCTACTGTCTTATTGCCAAAACATAAGTGAAATCGGGGGGAGATTTTGATAAGCTTGGATAATTTTGGTGATTTGCTTTATTGCTTTTTTGTTACAGGTTTTGGTCTTGCTAAAATGGTGTAATATTTGGCTGGTTTGGACTGACATGATGCAGGTTTTTTGGATGTATTATGGTGCAGATTTTGCAGTATGACAGTAGCAAGTTTGTGGGAAGATTTGGCAAGAGTTGAAGCAAATTTTGGATAGTTGTGTTTGGATGTGCAGCATGAAAATGACAAGAGATGAGATAAAATTGTTGTTGTAAACTGTGACCCTCCTCCAACTTTATATTTTCTTTCTTTTTGGATAAAACAAAATTAACAACAAGAAAAATAGTAATAATAATTAACCAAAAAAAAAAGAGGAGATTGTTAGTGACAACTAAACTAAAAGTACAAAAAATTAAAATAAGAGACACAAAAAAATGTGTTTAGTAATAATAATAATTCAATTTAAGAAATTCAATTAATATTAGAACTAAATCAAAATTAAAAAGGAACTAAAATTATAATGACTAAAGAAATAAAATGTAAATAAAAGAAAATGGTATTAACTATATATTTTTTCTTTGAGATTTTCTAGATGTAAAATACAACTAAAATAAAGACGACGCTAATCACATATTTTTTGGATTTTTTCAAATAAAGTGATACAAACATATAAATTTAAATAGAATTAATAAAAGACCATATTTTTTTATATTTTGAATAAAGAAATAAAAAAAATTATAAATAAATAAATAAAAATAATAACACATGTTAAGTGCGTCTTTTGCAATTTTAATGGAAAAGAAATCATGAATAAAACACAGTCGAACTCAAATTTCACCAAATTCACAAAACAACTTTTAACGTCAACAATTTTTCATGGCTTTTTAATGCATAATTTTCCCTTGATTTATAAAGAAAAGTTGTAGATGATGTCAAGGAAAATCATGTGCAAAAACAACCTCTCAAAAATGTCGAAATTTGAAGAAGTTATGAATTTTTAAAATCTGCTTTAAAAATTGATAAAAATAGGTCAAATCGCTTGTGAACACTTGCAATGTAACGATGTAGATGGGAGGTGATATCTTAGGTCAAAAATTGGGGTATGACAGCTGCCCCTATTTAAGTTTCTTCTATCCGGAGACATGAAGATTAAAATCTTCGTCTCGACGAGATTGAAGGTACTTAAATACATAATACGCAATTTTTGCCCTAAGATACCGCCATTATGTTTGTGATATGAATGTAGTATTTAAATTCACAGAGAATGATATTGTATGAGACAAGATAATGCTGGAGAAACCAAACACCAACAAAACACAGGAACATAGATTATACACTATTGGGGAAATGAGCCATTCGACTTCAAATGATAGACTCTTGACGGCAGATAAAAATTTGAGCGAATACGACCTCTGACCCTAACAAGGAAGGCATCTTGCATAGGCCACAAAAACAAATTATTGGCCCAAAATAACAGTGAGTTCACAACTCAAGGTCAAAGATAGACAAAAATGTATCAATTTTGCTGATAATGGACTACCAACTTCTGAAGGCAGAGATTTCATAACAAAACTCTCTGCGGGATTTTCGGAGATATACTGACTAATGCTGAAATAATAATATGGTTGTAGATACACAAGCTGCTCAAATAAAGAAGCTTCCACTTGCTGTCGTTCAAAGATGTCAATAACATACAAGCTGCTCAAATAAAGAAGACGCCACTTGCTGTCTTCTAAAAAATACTATGACATACAAGCTGCTCAAATAAAGAAGCTGCCACTTGCTGTCGTCCAGGGATGTCAATAACATACAAGCTGCTCAAATAAAGAAGCCGCCACTTGCTGTTTTCCAAAAAAAATAAAATAACATACAAGCTGCTCAAATAAAGAAGCTGCCACTTGTTATATTCCAGAAAAAAAATCAATAACGTGCAAGTTTCCCATGAAGAGACCGCCGCTTGCCTTTTTCCAAAAACAATAACGTACAAGTTACTCGTGAAGAGCTGCCGCTTGCCTTTTTCCAAAAGATAATAACGTACAAGTTGCTCGTGAAAAGCTGCCGCTTGTCGTTTTCCGAAGAATAATAACGTACAAGTTGCTCGTGCAGAACTGCCGCTTGCCGTTTTCCAAAAGATAATAACGTACAAGTTGCTCGTGCAGAGTTGCCGCTTGCCGTTTTCCAAAAGATAATAACGTACAAGTTGCTCGTGAAGAGCTGCCACTTGTCGTTTTCCGAAGAATAATAACGTACAAGTTGCTCGTGCAGAGCTGCCGCTTGCCGTTTTCCAAAAGATAATAACGTACAAGTTGCTCGTGAAGAGCTGCCGCTTTTCGTTTTCTGAAGAATAACTCAGAAGGAAATTGCGATGACACTGGCAGAGAATAAAATCTTCGTCAAAGAGAACCATGAATCAATCCTTCCCGAGGAGATCACATACTTAAATGTGCAAAATAAATGCATCATTCGTCTAGGTGGCGACTTCACTGGGGAAAATCATGAGATAGCCTATGCAAGAGACAACAACTCCCTCCAGGAATAAACCAGAGAGAAAACAGTCAAACAAGACTCCACCCAATGAGAAAGTAACTTGATTGGGGGATTCATCCTATCCAGAAATGGACAAGGTAGGCTAAATCAAAAAAAATCATCCACGAGAATTAGCTCAGTTGGGGAATTTAGAAAGGAAGCACATTTTCTGCCTAAGCCAACCTTCTACTTGGAAAGAACATGTACATTGTCTTAATAAACAAAGTATACAACCCAAAATCAACGACAAATGTGAATATGCATGCTGATATAAGTGTAAATGAGTAAATGAATGTTATGCTGACAAAACAAACAGATGGAATAACTTGAAGACAATAAGATGTCACGAAATAATAGATACTCGGCCAATCTTAAAAAAGACGGAAAATAACTGGAACTGGAACTACAAAGCAACGTCGGAGCGTATCACGCTACAAGGCTCAAGTCTTCTGAGGAGAAAAATATTCAAATCCAATCTTCTAATCTCCAATAGACTACTGGCATGAGACAAAGCGTACCACACTTCAGAAATCGCTCAAATAAAGATAACCAAAACAACGCTTAACTGGAAAAACTGGGGAGTCACCAAACTTAGTACCACGAAAAACGCAAGTTTACACAACCAACACCTCATGACGATTTTGAAAGAAAACATGTTCATCATGCAAGGATAAATTACTGTATTGTTTTGCATTTCATGGCTTGACCATCCTCGGAACAACTGTTAATATTCCTTTCATTAGTCACGACACATTTTTAAAATAAGAATACTTTAAATAACTTTGTTTCAAATATTTCCGTAAAATTAAATTTTTGCCCACAAAAGGTAAATGCTCAAATTTCATTAATAAGATGGTAGTTCGCTAACAACGCGACTCCAACGGTTTACAAAAGTTTGGGAAATAGTACATGAAAGAAAGGGTTACACAAAAACAATGATCACTATTCTCCCTAACAACTTCGAATTCCGAAATGTGCTCATAGGCCACAGCCGGGATGACCAAAAGCCTTCCTAAGCCGCCCCTTCGGGTTTTCAACTTAGCGAACTGTCAACTCAAACCTAAGCGAAATATTTCTTGACTGCATCGGCGTTCATGGAACGCGGGAGCTCTTCACCGTCCATATTCGTGAGAATCATGGCACCTCCAGAGAAAACTTTCTTAACGACATACGGTCCTTCATAACTCAGAGCCCACTTGACCCTAGAATCCGGTTGGAAAGATAATATCTTCTTGAGCACAAGGTCACCTTCTCTGAACTCGCGTGGTCGAACCTTCTTATCAAAAGCCTTCTTCATTCTCTGCTGATATAATTGACCGTGACACAATGCTGTCAATCTCTTTTCTTCAATTAAATTCAACTGATCATATCTACTTTGACACCATTCAGCCTCAGAAAGTTTAGCTTCCATCAAAACTCTCATATACGGAATCTCGACCTCCACGGGGAGTACTGCTTCCATACCGTAAACTAGGGAAAATGGGGTTGCGCCTGTGGAAGTTCGAACTGAAGTACGGTATCCAAGTAAAGCAAACAGAAGCATTTAATGCCAATCTTTATAAGTTACCACCATCTTCTGGACAATCTTTTTGATGTTCTTGTTAGCAGCTTCAACTGCCCCATTCATCTTCGGCCTGTAAGGAGAAGAATTATGATGTTCGATCTTGAACTCTTCACAAAGCTCTCTCATCATCTTGTTATTCAAATTCGAACCATTATCAG